TTTCAATGATTTTATGACAATATACCAACGACAAAAAAATTTATCGCTTTCAGCTAAAAGCACTTTCAGCTACCTGCAGTCGTTAAGTTCATTAGCGAGTAGAAAACACTTTGGTTTATTTCAAAACAAATTGTGCAACTTTTAGTAGTTAATTTCATTGTAAATGATTTATGATGCTTTACAAGCTGGTAGGAAAATACACATATAAATGAATAGTAGATATATTTCATGGTGTGCATGAATTCGTAGTGAAAGGGATAATGACAAATAGAGAAATAGAAAAGAGAAATTTTTGGTGGAGAAGGAAGTAAAAGATGGAAATGATAATAAATAGCGTAGGAGTGTTTGAGGCACGGGTTCAGAATTAGCTTTGTTTCGGGAGTATTTAGGATGAAAAGATAACATGTACTGCTTTGACTTAAAAATAACTTTTATGCTGAAATGCCTATTCTCACTATTACCGCTAAAGGAAATTTCTGTTATTTTTTCAACAGCCAAAATTGAATTTTGTATTCTAGCGTACAAGTTAAAATGTTTGAAAAAACTTAGGCTGCACTACTTTTTTCGACCATCTCAACTTACGTTTGCATTTGTATTGGTAACAATGAAGACTGAATTTGTGATACAATTAAATAATACTGTTTTTTAATACTTTTCATATTCATTTATTCACAAATCAATTGAAAACTAAAGCATACACATTCCGTTCGTTGCTGATAGTGAATTCTCACACAGTTTGAATGTCTTCATCAAGTTTATTTTTATTGGCACATGGGAAAGAAATGCATATATTGAGTGAAACCTCAAATAAAAAAAATTAATTATATATGAAAATGAACATCTAGTCACTTGTCAGAAGGTGCCAATTCGTTTATAAGCTCTAATCAAATTATTTTTATTCAAAAATGATGAATGAAAACGATATCTTCCAAATTAAAAGAGGTATTTTTTCTCGCAAACTTGTTAGCATGCATGCAATGAATTCTAAACGTAAAATATGCCATTTGGATTTTATTGTTTCTCAAAATAGCTACACAAAACCAAGCAGCAGATTGTTTATTACCTTCTATTACGCGGTTAACAAAACTTACAGTACAGGCAGTGACTGATAATACGAAATAGCAACAAAATTTTTAATACCAAGTAAATTTTATAATTTAATGTAAATAATGTTTTTTATTTAATACTGTTGCCTTTCCTTTACTTTTCGATGAAACAATAAAAAAATTACCTTGTATTTTCGCTTAAAACATCTTTGATTTTAGTACAAAAGCTAATTTTGTTGGCCTGGTACATTTGATCAAATTTTTCGGTTTTCATATATAAGAAAATTGATTAGACTTAAAAGCTATCTGGCAGTGGACTTGAAAACAATTTATTTTCAAAACCCGTACTAGCATATGTATATAAAGAGTTTTCGGTTCGATTTTTTTGATGAAACCAGTTACTCTCCAATTAAAAACTCTTTGGATATTCCTGATCTACATATACAAATGTTACGACTATGGGGCAAAACTATGCGAGGTAATCCGTTTAGTGATTTGCAAAATTAAAATCAATTGGTACGTTCAGCGAACTGAGCGCTCAGTAAACATGTTCAGTATGCGAACCCTGACCGCTACGGTTAGTTAGCGCTCAGTAAACATTCTCAGTGAGCGCTCACCATATTTGTGAGCGTCAAATTTTTATGCTACTTGCCACTGATCGGTCAACTGCTGTATACAGAAAAAATGAATTGCGAAAATGTAAAAGTATTTTTACTTGAAAGTGCTTGTGACGTAAGCTTACTAGATTTTTTTGGTTGTCAAATAGATTTATTTGCGCCATCTGCACTAGATAAACAGTTTTTCAAAGAAATGTTTTATTTTAAAAGAAAGGACCAAACATATTTATGAAGAAACTGTGCCACTACACAATTAGTTTCGGCAGTTGAATTTGCGGTTGATGTGGTCGTTTCGAGATTTGAAGTAGCATTGCGTTCATGAAAATTAATCGCTCAGTAAAATCGCTCACTTAACATGTCTACTGAGCGCTCAGTTCGCTGATTGCACCCAATGTAATTTACGCTACCGCTTCGGAAAGGAATAAATTGCTCAGAATAAATTATAGTTACATCCTCCATTTGTTGAAAAAATATGAAGACGCATACTATAGCCGCTTACGGTTAGAAGACACTAATATATGTATGTAATTTATGGCGGCAGCAGTGGCGCGGACTAATATCCTGGTGCGAACAAAATCAAAAAGTTTCAGAAAATTATTTTAAATAAAATCTTAAGTTAAATTTTCGAATTGCTGTCTACTCTTCCGAGTGTATTTCAGGCATGAAATAAAGGCTACTCATAAAAGAAACCATCAGCCGTTCAGAGGCGGCTTAGTATAAACTGAAGGACCCTCCATTTGTTGGAAAAACATCAAGGCGCAAAACCACAAGTGGTTAAGTGATTACAAAGTGCCAATTTTACATATTACAAATTTATGCTACGACACTCAGAGTATAATTGAAAGGAAGTTTTCGTTCCGAGGATTTCGATGATCCCAAGCGGTATGCCATTTGTGCGCGAACAACTTCAATTTGCGCTGCTATTACTATGAAGACAGAATACCACAAGTCCAAGTCGTTGATTTGAAGAGCTCTTTTACAAGCACTTTCGTTACACCGTATGGAAATGTGTAAATTCATTTATAAAAATTACAACACTTTTTTTTACAGCAAAACCAATAAACAACAGTCATGAATAAGTGACTGAAAGTGATTCCCAGAATTATTTCTCCAAGTCAATAAAATATTACAAATGCTGCTGCATACTCGCGTATGTAATTTGTAGAGGAAATAAAACTTGAGATAAGGAATGATGTTTGGGAAATAAGGAAATTACACAAGATCTTATTTTTCATATTCATGAGTAGCTACATTGGATAATTGATTAGTGTTCAATAACAAGAAAATAAACATAAGTAAAAAAAATACATTTAAATGTGAAAAATATTTTAATGTAACATTTATACGAGGACATGCATGAAAAGAAGTAATAAAAAAGTCAATCAGAAAGCAAACATTTATTAACCAAAGTGTGTTACATTTTTTAGGTAGTACTAATATTTTTCTCGACACTGTTCGTGGAATATTTTTTTCCAAGACCAAAATACATGTGTGTGTGCATACAGTTGGCGTTATGCTTGAACCACCCCTCATTGTTGTTAAAATAAACACTAACAACAAAGAACTATACTATTTCTTATATCAAAAACAACAAGAACAGCGTAAGCAAAGAAAAAATGTGTTAAGTTTGCAGATTGTAGACTTACCAACTAAGATATTCCTACATATTTATGTACGTAATGGTGTTTATATGTAAATAACAATAACCGTGCTGTGAAGAGCGATTATTATTTTATAGCGAATTTGAAGTTTTTTTTTTATAATTTTGTGAAATGTAGAAATAATTACTATTATTGATTTATTAGATTTATAAAATGTAACTTAAATTAATGCTTAATAATTGCAAATAATCTTTAACAGTAATACGTTTCTCTTAAATATTTTAAGAGTTTTCATTTATTGTAAGTATTTTTTTTTTAAGAAAAAAATATATACATCCGACCATTAACAATTAAGCACAACCCTAACCTCTGCATTTTCTCTATATTTGATATGTATGTAGTTATGTGCGTATATTTTTGTATGTAATTACAATAGATAAGTGTCAGAAAGATAGTGTTTACCCAAGTTTATTAACGAAAATGACTCACGTGCCAACGGCCAACAATTATTTGTATGAATAGACAACAGCAACAACAACAGTGGAAAGTATCTACAGTAATATAGTGAGTGAAAAAACGAGTGCGTGATTATGTCTGCATTTGTTTATACGTCTTTATATTGTACTTATTCATTTGTATTTCACATAAATGAAGCGCAAATTTATTTATTTATGCTTTTTTTGAACTTGTGTCAGCTCTTATTACTTACTTAATTCTGAAGCGTAGTTTTGGAATTTTTAAACATAAAAGTAAATTCTTATGAAAAATCGCAAAACAGCCTAATGTTTTATAGGCGTGAATGTGATATTATTTGCCAGTGTCAATATACTCAAATACATATATATGTATATTCTTGTGGAAATAAAGGCAGAGTTTAAATGAATTTTTAAAATTCATTAATTATCAAGTCTTTTTTCAATTTTCTGGAGCGCATAAAAAATATCTTGTAACCATATAAATAGTTCGCCCCTATATAAAAGCAAATTTGAAAAAGTGTACAAATATAAAAAAAATATTTTAAATTTACTACATTTATGAATCATCCTAAAAAAAGGTACTCATTAAAATATTTGAAAAGTTACGCTGTTGAGTTTCTTCAAAACGAAAGCTTTAAAACTACTATACTCTTTTATCAATATTTGAAATTTAAAAACCTTTTGATGTTCACATTAGGCAGGTAACACTGTGTTTGTATTTCAATGAAAATTTCTGTTATTTTTGTACCCTCTATTTAATTTTATGCACACATGTTTTGTATTTCAGGCGCTTGCTGAAAGGTAGCAAGCAGCTCAGGCGACGCAGGGGCGTTAATAGAGTTCGAAAAACGCAATGTGACACGGCTGAATAAGCACGCAACGCGGAGCAAGGCAAAAGCTTGTTGCATGGGTTGGCGTGGAAGAGTATAAAAAAAACAATATTGTGAGTTTGTAAAAAAAAAACTGTTTCATTAGTAAATAGAAATTTCAATGGAATTTAATTTTAAAGAAAAATACTTACGAAAAGTTAAGCAGCATGGTTAGAAGCAAACATTAAATTGAATATGCATAATACTGCAAGTAAATAAAACGTTTTTGTTTAACTTTTTTTTATCAAATTTTTGTTTAATATATTTTATGATTTTTTTTGCAATTTTTTACTTTTTAATTTTTATTTCTCATTATTTAATTTGTTTCACACGTGTTCACTCGATTGCGTGGCAAGTGATTTCCTTGGCATTAATTTCTTTTTTTTTACAATTTTTAATATAATTTAATTTAAAACGCAGTAACTGTATGTACGAGTATATACATATATAAATTTGTTAAACGCGTTATGCTTGACCATGGATTTTCCGTCGATTTCATCAGCGCATTTCACTTTCATAAAACTTAAAATTGTTTTCATACCAAACACATACACATCTATGCATTTATAAATTTATATTTGTATTGTATATTTATACTAATACTTATACAATCAATATCAGTTTTTCAACGTCATCGTCATTAATTTATGCAAACTTAGTTGCAGAATGTTTTTACGCCGAAATACAATACATATAGTATTTATAAGCGATATTCACAAGAAGAAATAATAAATAACAGATAAACGTAAAGGAAATAATGATGAAAACAAAAGCAAAGTGCTTGAAAATAAAAGAGCAAAACAAAATACATATAAAAATATACAAAATAAAAGTAAACAAAAGTGGTAAAATATGACGAAAATCGCGCGGTAACTAAGCAACCCGCCAAACTGCAAGAGTCGGTTGGCCAATCGTGTACACAATGCGGGCGACCGACCGGTCATTGAAGAATTTGCTGAGGCATAGGCTATGCAGAATAATATATGGAAATTTATATTAGGGTGATACAATTATTTCTGGGTTAAATAAATTTAAGTTTTCTATGTTTCGTAAAAATATATATATTTTTTGAGCTAAAATTAAAAAAATTTGGGAATTTTAATTTTAAGAAATAATAATAATTTTTTCCTTCTTTTATAATAATAGATTTTTGATTTACTAAGAATTTTTAAAGTTTTGCAATGTTTTTTCCATCAAATTTTTAAAACTAAAACCCTCAAAGTTAGTTACGCAATAAATGCTTTGAAAACTTTTCTAAAAATAATTATAATATATAACTTTTTGATATGGAAAATTAATTTAAATAAAAAATTAAATTATTTTGGTCGCCACTTGGCCAGAAATGTCTAACCCCCGAGTGTATTTCGGACGTGAAATAAAGATTCCTCGTGCCTCCATTTTTTGGAAAAGCTTCTAGGCGCAAAATCACAATTGGAAGAGAAGCTCGAAAGATCGCTTCAACGGTTACTATTTAATTTCGTTAAATATTTAATTTCATATATATATATATATTAATTTTTACCTACGATCGAACTATTACAAGTTATTTAATAGATTTTTTGATTAAATTTTGAATTTTTATTATATAATTCATTTTTATCTTATATCAATCAAGAGAAGCGCCCTAACTATTACATTCGGCTGAAAAGAATTAAATAAATAAAAGAAGAAAATCCAATAAAAAAATTTAATTCACTTCTGTATTAAATTAAATATTATTATTAAATTAAATGCCGAATTTAATTAGGAATTGTTTATTAATCAGTTAAAGGTTTAAACAAACAATTTTCACAAAAAAGACCAAAATTTGTTTTTGTCATAGTAAACAGAGTGTTAATTTCAATTAAAAATTTTAAACTAATTTTCGTTTAAAAATTTCTAAATACCAAATTTTAATGAAAAAAATAAATTTTGTTTGTGTATTTTCGGTAACTAACTAAAAATTCGGTTTAGCGGTTACAAGGCGCCATATATATGTATACCATATATAAAAATTTTCAAAAAACGCAGCTATTAATGAACCGCCCTTATATTTGGCACAGCACAATCAGCTACATAGAAGCACAAGTTTTTTGGCTCTGAAATATTTACTTTCGTATATAAATTTCCATTTTAAGCATCGAATTTCTTGCTTTCTCACAAGAAACTTTTGAATGGCAAATGGATAAATAAACAACCTGATGTGGGTAAACATTAGAGTGCACAAATTATTAACTCAGCCGTTTTACTAGAGACAAGAAAGAAATTATGTACTGTTTGCAGACTTTCGAGTACAAAGGAGAATGTGTTCACAATTTCAGTATTTGCTTTTCAATTTCTTTAAGGTAGAAAGTTCGTTGCAATTTGGCTTTGAAGGCTAGAAAATTTGTAATGCTTCTTCTTGTTCCCTTAAACATACCAGTTTCAACTAACAGACACGCATACGTACAAACATTTGTAATTACATTCACTAGGTCATTCACATTTTAGATGGATAATTCTTTTTGCGCATTCTTCCCCATGCAGCTTTGTCTGTCGTGCGGCGAAGATTTAGCCATTACCTACTTAAGGCAACAACGAAAGAACAAAATTTTGCTAGCACTACGACATTTAGCCACTGTGTAAGCCAATCATTTGGTCGGTTAATCGTATATGTATGTATGTATACAATCATTGCAGTCACAGCTCATTTGAGTTGACAGTCGCGTAATTGAAGTATTACATTTCGTTAATGCATAAATGACCAAAACAAGAGGGAAAACAAATAAATGAATAAATTAAAAAAAAAAAATAAGAACAAAAAGAACCATTCAACCATAAAACAGACGTTTCACTTATTGGCCGGCACATTTACAAGCTTATCACTACACTACGCATACCAGTGTATATGTATATTCACATTCTTATAAATGTTATTATTATTTATGTAGTATAATTATGCAAGTAAATAAATAAATATTTTGCAAAGAATTGCCAATTTATTAAACACTGTTGTCAACAAAGCGACCAATGGATTGTTCAATTGTCGAAATATCGCCACGATTCGGTGCTAAGCTGGAAACACAGTCACATATGTATATGTATACACTCACACACAAATAAATATATACGTACTTAAATTCTTTACTCGAAGAATTCCCGATTTCTTTAGGGTGAGTTGGAGTTTTTTTCTCCTTTTTGTTTTATTCACGTTTTACCGATTAATCGTTTCGTTACGGATATACACATAGATAATTGTTGCCTTTGTAGCTGATAATTTAGCTTCGCGTTACTTGAACTTGTTGCCGCTTACACGTTTCTCACATCAATGATTTACTGTTGATTTTCGCAGCACGTTTTAAACGAAAAGCAAATACATACAATGCAAAAAGCTACAAACATAAACATACATACATACATATATACACACACATTGCCACTCACTTCGACAAACGGACAGATTGAACAGCGCGTACTCATTTCATTTATTTGCTCACTTCAGGGCTACTACTTGGAGATACAGTCAGCAGAGTCGGTCTGATTGCGGCATAAACGTTTTGTTACATGTAGCTCAACGGATAGATTTCTAAAGTGTCACGCGCTAGAATATCGAGTCAGTCATGCTGACTGGTTTGCACAAACTGATATTCGCAGAGCATAATAATGGTGCTGGGCGCTCCGAGTGCGACTCGTCGAGCGGTTGCACTTACCTGCAGTTTCTCTGTGTTGCATGTTTGCATGTACTGCATTCAACGTTTCCCTCTCAATAGCAATTATTGTTTTCTTGATATTAAGAGTAAAATACTGTGAATTGTGGTCTTGAAAATAATTAAATTTTATTTTTTGTTTGTACCATGAATAGGTCACCATTATGTCAGAAACTAGATAATTTTTAATATTAAATGAAAATGAAATAATATAAAATAAATCTAAATAAAAACGACAATTAACCTAAAAAATTAATAAAAGGTTGTAACATCTAGAAATAAATATAATAAAATAATACAAACTTAATGGAAAAAAATATGAATGAGAATAAGTTAAAAAATCATATAACATAATAAGGAGAAAATTTACTAATAAATAAAATTAAATGAAATAAAAGAAGAAAGAAAATGAAATTAATTAAGTTAATTAAGTTGAATTGAATAATACAACAATAGATTATATGGCTGAAGATGCCGCAGTGGTAGAGCACTCGCCTGTTAAGTCAGGATCCGTTGGTTCGATCCCTGCCATAAGAAGTCTGATGAGGAGATGAGTTGCTCTCCGAACCAGCTGTCACTTCTACTATTTTTCTTTGTTGTATAACAAAATATTCAATTCATACAAACAACCAGGCCTTAAGGTTACTTAATACTGATTCCAAAAATTAGAATAAAATTAAACTAATTAAATTATATGAAAATAAATTAACAAAATATATATAAATAATATAAATAAAACAAAACAAACCAAATATGAAAAATACAACATAAAAAATTAATAAGAAAACAATATAAACTAAAGTGAAATAAAATAAAATAAAATAATATAAAATAAAATAAAATAAATTATAACAAATTAATAAAATAAGTTTAAAAGGCTTAAATAGAATTACATAATATTAAAAAAAAGGTGAATAAAATAATATGAACAAACCAAAAATAATCAAATGAATTAAAATAAAAAATTTAAATAAAATTAAATTAAAATAACTGAATTAAATTAAAATATAAAATAAAATAATGTAAAAAAATGAGATGAAATAAAATAAATTAATTAAAATAGCCTAAAATAAAATAAAATAATTTAAAATAGAAACAATAGCATAAAAAAATAGAATAACATGAAATGAAATAAACTAAAATAAAATAAATGCAATAAATTAAAATAAACATAAAAATATAATAAGGAAATAAAATAAAATAACTTGAATTAAAAACAAATGAAATGAAATGAAATAAAATGAATTAAAATAAACCAAAATAACCTAAAATAAAATAAAATTAACTAAAAACAAGTTACGAAATATAAAAACGTAAAATCGTTCTTTAGAATTAATGAAATTATTTTCTAAACTACTCAATGGAAAACACTGTGCCATAATACCCATTTCGAATTTTTCATCATTGCTCTCAAAATTTTCTTTCTCTTTTTTGCGTTCTCTCATATTTATTTTACGACTTCATCATATATACATACATACATATTTATTTACTATTTGCCGGCATACCGTCATTCTAACGTGATATTCGCTCACACAAATAAGTTAAATGACAACCAAAAGCAGCTTGTTGTCTGACAAATTGACTGACGGACTTGACCTAGCACATACCAAGCAGTAGACTATGTATGTTTGTTGCACATCATTTTTGTGTCACAAATGCAGGCATGTCGTACTGTAATACATAAAAACGTTCTGATGAATACATCTGCAAATAAGAAATTACCTTTTTTATGTGAGAGAAACCACTGAAATACGAAAACGAGCAAACAACTCTGGAGTATGCACCGCAATGTATGTAGTGTATCTTCCGATTTGATAGTCTCAACTTCAGTCACAGGAGAAACAGTATGCGGTGTCTTTGTGTGGCGGAGACAGGTTTTTTAGATGGCTACATTCATTTGAGTGTGCGACTCTGTATGTATGTTTGTATTACAACCCTCGAGGTACCGGCTATTGGCTAATGACTTTGTTATTTTTGTTTCTATTGCCAATTGTGTGCCAACAACATACGCAAAGAGCAAAAGAAATAATGAGAGTTTTATGGAATTTTGCTCTCTATTTTTCTGTAGAATTCCTGTTAATATTTTGTCATTCAAGCTATTTGACTAAATATAGAAACGTATTTTTGGATATAAAATTATGTGTGCATTTACATATATTCCCTGCCGAGAAAATCTGAGCAAGCTCGAGCACATTCTAGCTCAAATATAGTATTTAGTGATGAAAATGTGCCGGTTCACTCTTTACTAATAAATTTCCCTGGTTGGAAATTAGAATTTAGCGGTAAATTAGTTGGCGTAAAAGCGTGAACTAGCGGTAGTTTTTCACCAATTCCTGCAGGGTACGTTAAGGTATATAATATATACAACTGGCAGCAGTATTTATTTAATATTTATCTTGGAAGCGGCCAAAGGCCAAATTTTGTACATCGTAAATTATAAGCAGTCAATAATGGGATAATCACAAAAATTAAAAACAAATTAAAATATGTTCCTTTTTTCAAGAAGACATAATTATAGCAGATATGTTTGTGTATATATATTTTAGTATATTTAAAAACTTTGTACAATTATTTGTGATGGCATAAAATAATTGAGACTGCAATAGATACATAAATAAAAAACTCGAGAATGTTAGCCCTCATTTGGACATTTTAATCTTGAAAGAATTTTGGAAGCTCTGGAATGGGTTAAACGGCTACAAATTTCTGGAAAAAGACCAACCTATTGGAAAAACCCTGCTCACATTTTTGGTGTCCGCCTTGATGTTGAATTATACTCTGAGGATTTGAGTTTCTTTGTCGTAATTTAATTTTTAAAGAATTTCGGAAGTTGAACGGTCCAAAACTTGCGACCTGGTGCTCCATATGGTGGAACGCGCTGCGAACTTCTCCGGTGTTGTTTTTCAGGGGCCTGAAAAATCCCTCATTTTCACTCTCGTTTGACTTGTTGCAAAGGCTACGGTATTAGCCAAAAATCTCGGATGGTTTTGTAGTTTTCGGTAAGTATTTTTGAGTTACGATACACTTTGTTCTTACTCGTTCGTCATTATTCTTAAATTTTTGCAATGGAATTTTTGTAATTAATTAATTTATCTATATTGCAAGCTGTCGCTGAACTATACTCTTCGAATAACAAAGCTTTCCTTATTTCATATTATAATTGGTGTTGATGCTGGTTCCTAGATAGACGAAGTTATCTACGATTTCAAAGTTATGACTGTCAACAGTGAGGTGGGAGCCGAGTCGCGAGTGCGACAAATGTTTTTGTGATGACAGGAGATATTTCGTATTGCTCTCATTCACTACCAGACCCAGTCGCTTCGCATCTTCATGAAGTCTGGAGAAAGCAGAACTAGCAGCGGGGTTGTTAAAGCCAATGTTATCAATATCATTGACATACGCCAGTAGTTGTGTACCCTTGAAAAAGATTGTACCTTCTCTATTCACCTCTGCAGCTCTTATAATATTATCTAGAAATAAGTTAAAAAAGTCGCAAGATAAGGAGTCGCCTTGACTGAAACCTCCTTTGGTCTCGATCAGCACGGAGAAGTCCTCCGCAACTCTGCCTGCGGTTCTGGTGTTGTCTAACGACAGTTTACACAGCCATATAAGTTTCGCGAGTATACCATATTCAGACAAAGCAGCCTAGAGTCAGCTTTGTACTGTCCTGTCGAAGTCAGCTCTAAAACCGATGAAAAGTTGATTCCACTCCTTACACACGATACTTTTTCAAGATTAATCACTTGGTAAATATCTAGTTAGCAGTTTTTGTATGGCGCTGTATCTGAATGTGGCAACTTTGTGGAACTTATATGGTTGAACAACATCAAAATCTTCGTTAGAATTAATCTAACATCCTCTCTTCTAGAAAGTATTGGAAATGACGCATGCTCCAGGTGAAGTAGTTGGGGGCCATTGAAAAAAAATTGTGTTAACGAAAGTACTTGAAGTCTTGCCTTCCTGTCTTTTGGCAAACATCTCAACCAACCATCACGGGTAATGGAGAGGTCAGCAGCTAATTTATCTGAGGGACAAGGACTCTAAGTAAACCCAGAAAAAGTTCTCTCCAATACTCCTGAAAATATTGTCATAATCCCTGATAAAAAAAACTTAGCTGGAGATAACATGTTGAAAGTAGTGCAAGTAAAACTTTGCGAATTAGGAATACCTGCCGAAGAGCTACTGTGCCAATATGGTATTTACTACCCCACATGGTGCTTTCACTTTACATAAGTATCCTAGACCCATACTAAATTATTGATCACTAGTTTGGTGGGTGTCATATTAAACTCTTGGAACAAGTACATTTTAAATATTTACTTACGTGTTGTGTGTCAGGTGCGATAAGGCCTACCTCATGAAAGGTCATAGTAGTCATTCTTGACATTAGGACTATTAACATACGAGCGACCTATTAAGCAGCGCTTAAAATTCAATTGAGACGTAACATGTTCTATGGTGCTCCCACGAAGGTGAGTACGCATGATTGAAAAAACTAAAAAAGCTTTTAAATAGAGCGAACTTTTCAAAGAAGTCTAACACAGGGAAGAATAATGGGCATATTCAATGAATTGGATTAGATGCTACAGCTTGTGGTAATGTACTACTCTCCAAACCGTTCGGAGCCTAACGGGGTTTCGGATAAAGAAATGATGTGGTTGAAATTAACTATTTAGGGATGACGCCGA